GAAGTATGAGAGGCTAAATAAGCAAGTTTATATCTTAGAATTTCTGAATTAATTTGTGCAGCTGATCCCACGACACTACCATATGTACCTAACCCAGTAGCTAAAATATCTCGTCTAGGGCGATGGTGTGATCGAAGTGATACATTATACAACATGCTTTCATAAAACCACCACTGAAAAGCTCTTTCCTGTACTGATACGAATGGCGTATGTAACGGACCGTTTTGCACAAAAGGGGAAAAAAACGCTTAGACGATAATCCCCTTTTTAGAGACAGGCACAGCTACTGTAGAATCACCAAAACTCACGAACCGCCAATAAGTGAATGCTCCAAACTCCCGAACGGCATACAAGGGAATAAGGCAGCACTTCAAATAAACGAACAGGAACCATACGAATAGCTGCTAGCAGGCGAACAGGAAAAGCTTCCAAGCGACTTACACTCCTGGCAATCAGTCCTTAGCAGCATACAGTAAATCCCCCCAAAGACGAGACAAGGCTCCGTGTTGAGGGTCAAGCAGTGGTCTGTTTAATGAGGGCTACCTGCCCAGTATTTATGCAGGTCTCCCACCTGGTGGACACTCCCCTAGGGGACCAAATGGGAGACTGTGACAAGGGACAGACAAGTAGACAAATAGGACACACAGTCACAGTATTTCCCACAATGCATCCTGGCTTCCTCCCCTCTGCCTTGGGAGATAATTGGGAAGTAACTCAATTATCTCCCAAGACAAAGGCAAAACTCCATTACACACGTGGGGACACAAAACCAGCATTATACTTTAAAATACACAAAGTAACATTTATTCCACAAAACACAGACATGTAACATATCCCCAGATAGCTCAGGTCTGAGTGCACATTATTAGGTGAATGGCACTCAGACCACACGAATACAGTTTAATCGCCATGGAGCCAAAGTCTTTACAGTCAGTTTCCTACGAATGGGCTCCATGGGATTCCTATCTGGGGTATAACATATTTGAACAAAAATACCGAACACCGGGCCGTTCGTGCACTTTCACCGAACAAGAAGGGAGGTCGGCGGCTTCAGCGGTGTTCGCGCAAAACTGTGTCCGATTTTAGTTCCATGAAAATAGAGGCGAACACCGCTGTTCATTCGTATGGTTTAAAATGGCCGCGACCTCGTGTTCGGGATACGAATGGCGGCCACCCAGCGTTCATCAATTAAGCTGCGGTTAACCGCAGCTTCAGGGAGGTTAATTGCCGGCACACTCCAGCTCCCAGGTGGTCCAGTCATTCGTACGGTTGTTCGGTAGATTGAAACTACCGAACAACCGGCAGAAAAGCACGAATACAGCTTTTCTGCAGGCAAAAATAAAGTCTTTTAAAAGGGGGCCATAGTCCAAAGGCAGCAGGCGAGCAACCAGGCTTCTCCAATGCAATGTGGCGAGATTGGTCTCGTCACAGCGTACAATTGGAATATTGTGTGGAAACCAACCATTTATTTAATTGTAAGTGCCAGGTAACCAAACGATATGAAACATCATATGCTACTTGTGTAGCAGAGTCCAAACAAACTTGAATAGGGTCACCTTCCTGAAATGGAGGTGCGGTAGATTCTGGTATAGGTGTAGAGGGAGATACAGAAGCTATAGGAGTAGAAGGCTGTGCTATTTCATCAATTATAACTATAAACTGTGGAATACCATTGTCTGTACATTGCCATTCACCTACAGAATCAGAGGGGTTGGAAGTATTAACCAAAATAGTTGCAGGCATCGCAACAGAATTAGAGTCCTGGACTTCTAGACTTCCACAGGTATTAAGATTATCCATGTTAGCCATAGGGCGACTGTTAGAATTATGAAAAATGCCAGAAGTAGCGGATTGCAAATCAATACTGCATATCAAACAAATATTCTTATCAAGATGCGGAAGTGCACCATATTCTGGAATCAGAAGATGGGTTTTATTAATAAGCCATAGCTGAGCATAGTCACATTTTGGAACACTAGCAATAAAAAGTGCAACAAGTTGTGGGGATGCAGAACTATGAGAAATATGCTATATGGGACGGTTAGATCTAACACTATTACGCTGAAAGTTAGACAATAAAGAAAAGATAAGGTCAATGCTGGTAGTAGGGTGTGAGACTAAATATATAGGTTTAAAAGGAGCAAGCACTTCATAAGAAGTGACAAGACGCTTCTGCAGATTATGATTATCTGGATGCCAAATGTTAGTAAAGGTATAGAGCAAACAAATCACTGTAACGCATCTCACCAAACATGTCCAAGATGCCATAGTCTAATGTGTAGATTATGAAAACCAACAAAATAATTAGTTATGATCAAACTGTAAATTAATGGCACCAAACTTCAAATATAACATGTAAAAATGTGGATAAAGAGATTGTTACAAGACGTTACTATTTATTATTAGTAAATAACATACAAAGTGAAAGCATCACACTAAGAAAACATGCAATACCTGCAGAAAGTAGTCTAGCCAAAGCTAGTTTTGTACATCCGGTAGGACCTCTTTTGTTTTTCAAATGAAGATTAGATGTAAAGGCGCCGATCATTCATAGTGAAAAGTAGAGTCTGGAACAGCCGTTTAAATATAGAATAACACACACAGAGGGCTTTAAGAGCCCTTAAACAATTTAAGCTGCATTGCATGCTTGTAGACATTTAAACCATCTGATTTTTGAATAAGATAAACTGAGGGTCCCACTTTGTCCACAATAAGATATGGACCTTCCCAGCAATCTTTAGGAAATTTCCTAGGGTTTTTCTGTCCTTGTTTAAGCATGCACACAGAATCTCCCACTTGGTATTCAGTGAGGTCAGATTTTTTATCAAAATCACTCTTACTTTTTAAGGCGGACACCGCATCTGTGTGCAGCGCCTGTCCTTGTACAGTGGTGAGCCATAGAGAATATTCTTTGGCCCATTCTTCATTGCATAATGCTACAGAGGTAGATATATCCATAGGAAGCAAAAGGCGTTCCCATGAAGGCATACTGCGACCAAAAAGTACTTCATAAGGAGACATCTGAATATGCCTGTTAACTCTAGATCTCATCCGAGCAAGGACAAAAGGCAGTAAAATATCCCAATTTTTACCATTGGCATTACAGATTTTGCTTAGTTCCTTTTTTATCTGGCCATTCATCCTTTCAACCATGCCTCCGCTTTGAGGGTGATAAGCAATATGGAAATCCCAATGGAGATCTAACCAACTTGTGATCTCTTTCAGGATGGTATTGACAAATTCACCACCATTATCTGAATCCATTTGTTTTGGAATCCCAAAGTGACAGAAGACATTTTGCACTAGGATTTTGGCAGTTGTGCCAGCTGTTTTGTTAGGGGTAGCAAAAGCTTCAATCCATCGACTAAAAGAGTCAACGACTACCAATATGTAGCGATTTTTACGGGCTGTCAATGGCAGTGTACCTACATAGTCAACCTGTATTCTGTCCCAAGGTCCAGTAGGAGCATGTCGCATTAGTGCTCCACGTGTTAGTTGTCTTGCTGGATCTTGGTGTGCACAAACAATACATCTATCAATGTGATCTTGAATATCTCTTCTCATAGTAGGCCACCATCCCAGTTTAGACATCCTATCCATACATTCTTGTAATTTGGGATGTCCCCCTGCAATGGAACCATGTACCCAAGCCAGCAAACATTTTACCAAATGAGAGGGAATAACCCAGACATGACCATGTTCAGTGTCTTTGACTAAAATGTCATGCAGAATTTTCAGTGTTTCTTTACCTAACTTAGGTGCCAGGTCATCAAAAAGAGGAGCGAGTACCAAATCGTACTCCTGATGTTCTCGAAGTACAGACCATTGTGTGCCATCATCGTCAGGGGCATACAACTGCACTGGTGCAAGTGGTGTTTGATACAATACATCTTCCTCTTCCCATAGTGGAATATCAGGAAGACATGCAGCCTCTTTTGCAAATTTATCAGCAAGACTATTACCGTATGCCAAAGGTCCCTTAGATCTGTGTGCTTTTACCTTGATGAGTTTGATAAAGCCTACATGATCTTTTGACAAATCCTGTATGCGTTCCCATAAGCCTTTGTGCTGTACTATACTGCTATCAGTGGACTGCCATTTATTGTTGACCCAAAACGTAAGAAGAATCAAAGCTCCTCTGAAAACATACATAGAGTCAGTGACTACAAAGTGTGTACCACCTTTCCCAATTTTATCACGGATCAAAGTTAGTAGTGCAGCTAATTCAGCAAACTGTGCTCCTGCATTTTTACAAGCATACTGAAACAAATCAAGAATCGTTTTACCTTCAAGAAGTACACCTGCAAAACCTGTCATGCGCTTACCATCGATGACTGATGAACTAGCATCAATGTACCAAACAGGGTTATTTCCCACATCAGCAGGGCTGCCCTCTTTGAAAACAGAATGTGCTTTAGGAGCAATCATAGGATGACATACATGATCCTGACCTTGAATAAGAACACCCAACACATGTACAGAGGGTTCCTTTAACGGTTCCACTGTAATGTGTTCAGTGAGCAGCGTAGTCATCCATCTCACCACACGTTCATTACGAATGTCACTTAAAGCCAAATTATGTTTTTTCAGCAAAAGCAGGGGATTATGATGTGAACGAATCACAATGTGCTGACCGCTGAGAAGATATCTCAGTCTTTGTATGGTCCAGTATGTAGCTAGGGCAATTTTTTCACAAGGACCAAATTTCAATTCAGGTGATGTCATTTTGCGACTTAAGTATGCAATAGGGGCTAGTATATCACCATGGTATTGGGCCACTACTGCACCAAGTGTTGTATCAGACACACTAGAGTATAAATAAAATGGTTTGTCTGATGCTGGAGTGCCCAAAACGGGTGCACTAGCTAATGCAGATTTGAGGGAGGAAAATGTCTGTGTATGAGAATCATTCCATTCAAATTTGTTTTGTTTCAGTAGGTCATATAATGGTTCTGCAAGCAAAGCATAATTAGCAACAAATTCTCTGCAAAATCCTGTAAGCCCAAGAAACTGCTGTAAAGATTTCACATCTACAGGTCTTGGTAGGGAAAGAATATGTTTAACCCTATCCTCAAGAATACTTCTGCCTGTTGGACCAAGTTCCAATCCGAGGTAATTAACCTTCTGTTGGACCAACTGACACTTGTCAGGGTTAAGTTTCAAGCCATGCTTTTTAAGGCATTCCAAAACCTTTTTTAACAGTTTAATGTTACTCTCTCTGGAATCATTAGCTATTAACAAGTCATCAACATACTGAACAATTTTGTTATGCAAATTATGAGACTTTAGAGCTTGAGCTAACATGCTGTGAAAAATTGCAGGGCTATCACAGTAACCTTGAGGAAGAACTGTCCAGCAATACTGTTTAGACTGAAAAGCAAATGCAGTACGATACTGAGTTTCAGGAGTGACTTGTACACTATAAAACCCATTTGCAAGATCTAACACAGTGTAATACTGCATTTCAGGAGTTAATTTAGCAATCAGTTCAGGGTAAGAGGCCACAACAGGTGCTGTTCTAAAAACTGTCTCATTTAGTCGTCTGTAATCAATGGTTAAACGCCAAGTGTTGTCTTTTTTACGAATAGGCGACACAGGACTCGAGCCTGCAGTTTGGCATGGTCGAATTAACCCACGCTGTAACAATTGGTCAATGATAACTTCTAAATCCTTTTCTGCCTCACGTGGAATTGGATACTGTTTAACATATGGGTGGTGTGAACCATCCAAAGAAACCATTAATTGTGATTTACCAAAATCTAGACTATCTTTGGCCCATACATCGGCATATTCATGCCACCAAGATTCTGTATCCACAGGAGGAGCAGGAGGGTGTTTGATTTTCATACCCTTTACGGCCCCAACATCCTCATGTGGATAGACAACATGCACAGGAGGCAAATTGGAGCCTAAACTGATCCGAGTATGCTCAGAAGGGCTAGTACTCCCCTCAATATTCCAAAGCATGTGATTCATTAAATCAATGATAAACCCAAACTTTACAATATCCGGAGCTCCCAACAGAGATAACGCATCTTTTTCCAAAAACACATCAGTCTTAGAGCCAATCTTCAATGTCCTAGGCTCAACATACACTGTTTTTGGCATGCCAGTAACCCCCACAATGCAAGCAGTAGTAAATTTGCTAGTTTTTGGTGTATCAGATATTAGTGTAGCAGCTGCCCCTGTATCGATTAGAGTGTTAATTTTCTCCCCATCTACCAACATAGTACACATTGGTCGTCCCCATTTATCTAGATCCAGAGGCCAGTCGAGACAAAGAGGAGAGGAGAAAACACATCCCTAGCAGGAGGAGAGGGGTGGAAGGGAAGTTGTTAGAGTTGCAACAGGCGTTAAATTAGCTTGCTCTACTTGTTTTCTAAGTAACTCAACAGAATGTTGTAACGCTTTCTGAGATGCAATAATATCCCTCAAGGGAATCCACTCACCATCTTTTCCTATGCCACGTCTTGTAGTATTAAATCTACCTCTAAAACCACCCCGTCCACGGTACTGTGGACCTTCTGTCTGCCAAGTATTAGAGGCATTATTTAATTGCTGTCCATCTCTCCACGATCTTTGAGCCTATGTTATTTCAGAAATCGGAGAGGGTTTAGAATATCTATCCATTTCAACTTGCAAACAGTCAAGCCATGAATTAAAGTCAACATTCCTCAGGTCACCGTAACAGATGGTCATAACATGAGAAATGTTACTTGGTACAAGAGTGAAAATTAACTCCCGCACTGCTGGATCCAATTTAAGGTCAGCTTGTATTTCAGAACGTTTTTCTGAAGAAGTAGCCCCATTAGTAAGAGCAGCAAGGAAACAATTACGCTGTTAGCAGTTTCTGTGATAGACTCATTAGGAAGTGAGATAAAAGCTTTGTTAATCTGGAACGGAGTAGACAAATGAAATAGTTTATGGCAACACCATTCTAACAGCTGAGAAAAAGTTTGTGCAAAACCTTCTATGACAGCTGAACAGGATCCCAGACCTTTCAGAAAAATCTCTATTAGTTGTGAATCCGAAGAACCCCAGCGAAGGAGTTTTCCGATCCAATGTGTGAATCTATTGAAATCCTCAATAGTACCCTTATTTACAGGAGCTTGCCCTATTTCAGATAAGACAGCCCTGGCTTCTGTCGCTTTCACAGAAGAAGGTGCTGTCATGTGTACATTAACAGGATCAGAAATAACAACATGTCGTTTAGTTTTAGCCTCTTTAAGGTCACTTTGCAGTTGTTTGTTAGCAGTCTGAAGGTCTTGTGTAGTATCATGCAATATGCTAGTAGTCTTTTCCTGTTTTTTAGTAGTAGCCTTAAGTTTGTCATTTACCCGTTGTAACTCGTCATTGTCAAGCCTAAAACGTTCAAGGTTAGTTTTAGTCTCAGTTAATAGTCGTGCAGCTTCAGACAACTCTGCTTCTAAGTCTCGTCTCTGCTGGTGTTCTTGTGAAAATGATTGTTTTACATTATGTAAAGTCATTTCCATATCATTATATTCTTTTTCTATTCTAGCATGATGTGCAGAAATTTCCTTCAATTTGTCATCTGATAACACTTCGTTAGCCTCTAATTGAGGACCACGTGTTATAGGATTACAAGGAACAAGATCAGTTTTAGAAAATTCAATTGGCAATTCTGGATACAAATGTGTATACGTGGGAGGAGCAGAGGGGACAGAAATTGTTTGTGAAGGAAACTCAATATTTTCATTTTTATGCTCCATCCACATAGCAATGTCGTCTTCATTAATTAAAGCAGAAGGAAGATCGACTGACAAGGTGGCAATCTGATACCATTTGTTTTCATGAGCAACAGGGGATTTTTTAAATATAGCACTTCCCCGAGCCTTACCTCCTAGTTTTAAAGAAGGAGAGTGCTTAGTACGCAGGCATTGTAAGGTGTCTACAGCTTGATCAAGGATTATATTTTTGGATTCTAAATTATGAACTTTATCTTGTAAGAATCCAGCAGTGTGAGCTGCATTTTGTGCCTGGGTGCGGTAATCTTCTAATTGTACATGCAGCGTATCAATAAGAGAAGCTTGCAGATTAAAACTAACTTGCAACTGTTCAATCATTTGGAGGGACATCATTAGCATATCTAGTAAAGCTTGCAAACTTCTACCCTTTTTTACTTTGTCACATTTAAGCTGCATTATTGAGGGTAATACTTGAAAAATGTCCTCTAGAAACAGCGCATCACTTACATTGTCGCCCAACTTAAATGGACCTCCATATTTTTTAATCCAACATTTTATATATTCTTGAAACACAGAAGGGAAAGAAAACAAAACAGGGGAATTAACGGATCTCTGTTCAGTATTTAAATCAATAGGGTCACATGATCTAGATTCAAGATTACCTATCCTATTTGGAAACTTAAAGAAAGACATACTTACAAAACGAGGATCCTTCCAACAACTGAGTACACTGCAAAAGACACGACTAAACCACCCAAGGACGAGGCCCCCAGAATGTCGGTTTTCGGTGATCCTTCAATATTGATAGTTATGGCTCGCTTCAGGTATGATGTGGACCTTTACCGACAAAAGGTCACTCCGGGTCATTCTAAGCTTAGTGTGTCTTTATGCAATCTATAGCTGTATACGGAGCAGACCCTTCCGTTCCCAAATTACTTATAAATACTGTTTTCCTTAACCATTCTAGATGATAACTTGACTATCACTAAAATAATCCAGTGTCTGAAGACCCAAAAGGCACTGTAATAATATTGTAATAAATGAAACAATGACTCAAATAAATATAAGATAAAAGTGTATTGAATGAATGTTACAGAATGCAAAAATAGTCAGTAAATAATTAATCTTACCAAATGTATTAGTGGCTACAGCATATGTCCCTGTATACCTTTCAGATGTGTGGTGACAGCAGGCAGAGTAAGAGTAGATGGATGAATGAATGAATGAATGGTGAATGAATGACAACGTCACACTCTTTCTCCTTCAGTTAAATAGCCATTTTGTCCTCCATAAAGCAGCCCCCACCTGTGTAATACTCCCAAAAAGGTTTTCTAACTTGTTGCGTGATGTAATGTATTGAATATCTAAGTTTGGGAAATACCCTAGATGGCTCTGCCTATAGTTAGCTTCAAAATTAAGTGAAGTGTTTTGTATACATTTGGCTGACAACACATGTGTTTGTTCTAATTTAACTTCAACCTTTTGGCTGTTAACCTTGTGGAAATGTCATTGAAAATTTAACTTTTTCAAATCTAAGCAAAAAGGCCTGCAATATTTCATACACCTATTTATACAGCTAAATGTACATTATTATTAGATATATATATATATATATGCACCATACCATATAATACATATATATATTGCAAACTACACATTAAATAATGATCAACACTCCACACCCATTAATCGTGTAAGTCTTGACAGGTGATGCTGTAGCTTGTACTGTGTTTAGCCATTGCCATTGTATTGCATACTTATGTTATACTAAATATTCACTGATTGTTATCATGCATGCTGCCTAATATTATTGTTATTTAATTTGTCACAATAAATGATATCTATTTTTATAACAAATTGTGATTTTATTTGTATGGAATACATTTCACTTACATGATAACGATCTCTAAGATCTAAGAGAATTGAAATAGTGGGCAATTCTCAACTGTATAATATCATCCCATAAATATCCCCACATACCGAATGCCCCGACTTTCGTTTCTTTGCATGGGAAAATCAAGCGTTTCAACATGGGGCCATAGTTTAAAGGCAGCAGACAGGCAACCAGGCTCCTCCAATGCACAGTGGCGAGATTGGTCTCATCACAGTAGTGATTTAGCAAGAGAGTCTGACAAGCATAGCAATCCCTTGTAGCAGATTCCCCCAATAAGAGACGGCACTCCAAACTGAGGATGAAGTAGAATTTAAGCTTGTAAGCAAACACTCTGCTTTTATGCCCATTCTACAAACATAGTACTGCCCACAGGGTTTTGAAGTACAACCAATCAATACGTACAATACACTCAGATACTACCACACAAAATCCTCGCCTCTGCCTGTGATATAATTACTGAACTTCAGTGAGCAAGCCTGGTCATCTGCTAAGCCTGATTCCCCAACTTTGCAAGCCCATTTCTTCAGTGAGCAAGCCTGATCGTCTGCAAAGCCTGATTCCCCAACTTTGCAAGCCCATTCCTTCAGTGAGCAAGCCTGATTGTCTGCAAAACCTGATTTCCCCAAATTTGCAAGCCCATTCCTTCAGTGAGAAAGCCTGATCGTCTGCAAAGCCTGTTTCCCCAACTTTGCTAGCCCATTCCTTCAGTGAGCAAGCCTGATCGTCTGCTAAGGTAGCCTTCTGGAAGACCAAACGAAGACTCTATCCTGCACACCTTCATTTATTTTTAACCCTGTACATTTTTTTTATATATACATATAATGTGTACATTGTATATTTTCTTGTATTTATATCTTGTCTGTTATGCTAAAGTGTAGTTTTGCTAGCCCTGTCTGTAATTGTTTTATTCACCTATATGCATTCCTCTATTTCCCCTCTGATTTGTGGCTGACCTTTGACCCCTCCCTTTTCTTATTGAGATGATTGTTTTTATTTGAATATCCATCTCTTCATCTCTTTACCTAAACACATTTCCCCCTCCCTTACCTTTATTGCAAGCTCTCTGACCCTCACATCTCTTTATTCAACAGCCTGATTCCCCAACTTTGCTAGCCCATTCCTTCAGTGAGCAAGCCTGAGTGCTTTCATCTACCGCCCCCCTGGTTATCCTAGACTATTCATTGAACACTTTTCTTCCTGGCTTCCTTATAATTGGGGATTTCAATATCCCAATCAGCAACCCATATTGCACTGATGCCTCTCGTCTGCTCTCTGTAACCTCCTCCTTTGGCCTTATGCAATGGTCCAATTTAGCAACCCATACAGCGGGAAACACTCTTGATCTTGCCTTCACCAACCTCTGTACTGCCTCTAATCTCTCCAATATTCCTTTTCCTCTATCTGACCACCATCTGCTGACTTTTGACATTGGCATACTTAAGACCCAATTGATACCACCGTCTGAACATCACTCTCACAGAAACCTCCAATGTCTTGACCTAGAGCATTTCTCCACTAATCTACAAACTCTCCTTTTACCTATCTCAAACCTCACCTGTCCTAGTTCTGAAACCTCCTTCTACAATTCCTCCCTCTCCTCTCAACTAGACATTATGGCACCTATGGCAGGTGCCCCCAACAACAACCCTGGCACACCAAGCTCACTCGATACCTCCAAAAATGCTCCAGAACTGCTGAACGCTGTTGGAGAAAGTCTCACTGTGCATCTGACCTTCTCCACTATAAATTTATGCTGAGCTCATACAGCTTGTCTCTTTCCTCTGCAAAAGTTAATTACTTCTATACCCTCATAACCACACTCTCCCGCAAACCCAAACAACTATTTCTCACATTTAACTCTCTTCTTCGCCCTGCTGTTCCTCCTCCACCTACTAACTTGAACGCCTCAGACTTTGCAACTCACTTCACTGACAAGATCTCTACAATCAGAAAAGAGATCTCTCATATTTCTTCTTCCTCTTACAATACTTCCCCTAATTTCACTCCTTCTGCTGTTCTATGTTCATTCGCACCCTGTACATTGGAAGAGGTTTCTGCTCTGCTCCAGTCTTCCCGCCCACCACCTGCTCCCTAGATTCAATTCCCTCACATCTCATCTGTACTCTGTCTTCTTCTCTTTCTCTACCTCTCACTAAAATTGTCAATCTCTCTCTCTCCTCTGCTATATTTCCATCGCCCTTCAAACATGCAACTGTAACCACCATTTCTAAAGAAGCCCAATCTTGACCCTAACTCCCAATCCAACTATCGTCCTATCTCGCTACTGCCTTTTGCATCCAGATCCTTGAAAGTATTGTGTATGTGAGATTGACAGACTTCCTCGAGTGCAACTCTGCTAGATCCGCTTCAGTCTGTTTTCTGCGTTAAGCACTCTGTGGAAACGGCACTGACCAAAGTATCCAATGATCTACTCGCTGCAAAATCTCGTGGTCACTACTCTATCCTAATTCTCCTTGACCTGTCTGCAGCTTTTGACACTATTGATAATCAACAGCTTCTTCTCATCCTCCGCAATATCGGTCTACAAGATATTGCTCTCTCCTGGTGCTCCTCCTACCTCTCCCAGCACTCTTTCAGTGTTTCTTTCTCTGGCTCTGCTTCTTCTCCCCAGCTCCTCTCTGTTGGTGACCCCAAGGTTCAGTCCTTGGTCCCATACTGTTCTCCATCTATACTGCCTCCCTTGGTAAATTCATTAGCTCCTTTGGCTTCCAATATCATTTCTATGCAGATGACACACAAATCTACCTGTCCTCTCCTGATTTCTCCCCATCCCTCTTGACTAGTGTCTCTGACTGCCTCTCTGCTATTTCTAACTGGATGGCTGCCCACTTCCTTAAACTAAACTTGACCAAAACTGAAATGCTGGTCTTTCCTCCCTCTAGTGTTGTTACTCCTGTGTCTGTCTCCCTCCAAGTCAACGGTGCTACCATCAGCTCCACTGTGCAGGCTTGCTGCCTAGGTGTTCTCATTGACTCCAACCTCTCCTTCAAGCCTCATGTTCAATCTATCGCCAAATCCTGTCATTTCCATCTCAAAAACATTGCGCGCATCCGCCCCTACTTAACGCCAGATGCGATTAAGGTGTTGGTCCATTCCACTGTCCTTTCTCACCTTGACTACTGGAATCCGCTTCTCAGTGGTCTTATGTGCTCCCAACTTGCGCCGTTACAATCCATAATGAATGCAATGGCGAGGCTCATCTTCCTTTCCGCCTGCACCTCCCATGCCTCACCCTTCTGTCAGTTCCTACATTGGCTTCCTATAAAATATTGAGCTCAATTTAAAATTCTGGTTCTTGCTTTCAAATCGCTACATAATGCTGCTCCCACCTATCTATACTCCCTTATACACAAGTATGTCCCGTCTAGGCCCTTACGATCTGCTGAAGACTTACGTCTATCTTCTGTCCGTACTCCCACCTCTGATGCTCGCCTTCAAGATTTCTCGAGGGCTGCACCGTTCCTGTGGAACTCGCTTCCCTCCTCCGTTAGATGCTCACCCAGTCTCCACTCCTTCAAAAAATCGTTAAAACCCACTTCTTCATAAAAGCGTATCAATTAAACTGTTAATAGCTCCTGACTGATTCCTCTTCTGCAACTGTCACTAGTCTAATACTATCCTTAACTTTTGTGTCATTTTACCCCACTCCCTCTAGCGTGTAAGCTCATTGAGCAGGGCCCTCAACCCCTCTGTTCTTGTGTGTCCAACTTGTCTGGTTACAACTACATGTCTGTTCGTCCACCCATTGTAAAGCGCTGCGGATTTTGATGGCGCTGTATAAATATCATAATAATAATAACACAATGGGCTAACAGTTTTACACAATATTCATAACTTTAAAAGTATGCATCACATTCGCATACAACTTAAATTTTCAGAATCAGCATACCAAATACAAACATACGTCAAAATCATACAAATTGGTCCAGTGGGTCAAAAGTTTGTTGGAAGTATGCTGATTCTAAAAAAGTAAGTTAAATGTTAATGTGATGCATACTTTTCAATTAATGAATAATGTGAATAAATTGTATTTCTCTGCTTGTTATAATTACATTACCCTTTGTGTAAGGTAATTGAATCTCAGGCAGAGTGGAGGATTTTGTGTGGGAGTGTCTGAGTGTATTGTATGTGTTTATTGGTTGTGTTCCAAAACCCTGTGGGTGGTACTAATGTGTATATAAGAACAATAAACCCACAGCTCTGTCTGTTCACTGCTTGATCCTCAACACGGAGCTTTGTCTCGTTCTTGGGGGGGATTTACTGTATGCTGTTCCAGTTTGACTGCTAGGAGTGTAATAGGTTTTTCCTATTCGACTGTTTCAGCATTCATATGGTTTCCTGTTCGGCAGATTGGTGTTCTGCAGTAGCTGTGCCTGTGTCTCTGGAAGGGAAGATCTACTAAATGGCGGTTTAACCCTTTTATGCTGAAGGTGCCATTACAATTGGTGGCAAGCGTCGGGATCGTTCCCACAGCCAGAAGGACAGCTACAGGAGACACCATTCCGTGGATTTACAAGTTGGGGGCAACGCATGTCCCAGTACAGCGACCCTAAAAGCCACAGAATGGAACCAGCAGTGTTATACAAGGAGGAGGACCTGGATGGCTGGGATGCATTAAGGAAAAGCATCTGGTACCAGGCCCTGGATAATGTACAATACCAAAGGGGTGAGAATCTCCCCAGTGAAGAGCAGCGGTTGCAGAAGCAAGTGGCCCTGCGGATGCCCTTCCTGGGAGAGCAGCCCCTGGAGAAATGGGTGAAAGAACTAGAGCACCGGGAATGGCAGGAGCTATGGCTGGAGGATGCCTACCAGGTGCTCTGGTGGTATATGGCACAGTATATACCCTGGACAGCCGAGCATGACAAGCCAGAGGGAGAGGAGTTTGATGGTCCTGGCTTGTTATGGGAGTCCTTTGCAGAGCCAAACTTCGGGAGCCCTGCGC